TAAATTCAATCATAGAACAAAAGAGTAATAATACAAGTGGTCATGATTATCTTTTGTTCCTTACACTCAGCAGACTCAGTGTAGGTTTGTTAAATTAGATTAACACTAATGACTTACATTTGTATATTGATCTGCAGTTTTCAAAGTATTTTAATTCTCAGTTTAATGGAAAGAACACCGAACTACCAGCATACACAAATCTCTCTTTTTTAATATACAGAATAACCAAGCTTTGAAAGTAATTCTGCTTTGGGAAACATTTTGCCTGGGTTGAATATGAAGGCATTTTTTCTGAAACGCTTTAGGTAGAGTTTTCAGTCCTCACTGAAAATAAATCAGTATCAAGAAGGATTTTTTTCACCACAGAATTCTCTATTTATTTTAACCTTTGATACATTTCCAAGGCATCTTCTCTGGAGCAGATGCTGCTACAGACCCCTCTGGCCGACGACATCATCGTCCTGGGGAGCCCCAGCTTCCTGTACCTACAGCTTCGCTGAGAACTTTCCCCTAGGCTGTGGGGAGTTAGAAGCACCTGCTGAGACCAGCCCTCAAACAATGAGCGATGGGGTTGGTATGTAAATACACCAGCTTCCCTGGGCATCTTATCCCATGTGGGATAACTTGGGCACATATATTCTGTGCTGTCTCCTAGAGTTCCCCAGTGAAGTTAAGTGCTAGCTACTCACTGTAATATCTTGTTTAATAATGCCCCATTTATTGGCTGCCTTCCTTTCTCTGTCTCTTTCCCCTTTTTCTACTCCTGCTTTCAAGAATCACCTCCCAAATAAACTACCCTCATCTCAGAGTCTGCTTCTTGCTTCTGGGGAAACCCAAACAAAAACCCTCCCTATCCCTTCAAGTGTCTCTCTCTGAAAGGGCATGGAGCTAGCTCATCCCATCTGAGCCATTAGGTCACTTAACAAGGTGTGAAGCCGCCTGTTAATCCTCTGCTCAAACAATTTTCGAGCCTCTCATTGTCTACTGATTTCATTGCTCTCCCAGGCAGGTCTGCCCTATTTGCCATCCTCATTCTGTTAATGATTGTATAAAATTTTTAATTAAAAATAAAGAAGATTAATGTGCTTGGCAGTTCCACAGTTATCACACTCAACTTGTGCAGGGTGAGGGAGACACAGTGTCTGGGACAAAGCAGTCGGTTTGGGTTCTCTGCTAAGGAATCAAGAACGAGGCATTTGTATGTTCAGTTTTTATATCAAAGAGGCAGAAAATTTTCATAGCCATGTATAAACGTATACAAATTTTTGGTTAAGTTCCAAGTGTTTGGCATATGTTGAAGACAAAGACCTTGGTCTGAATGGGCATTATCAAGATGTGCAATTTTGGACAGAAATCGCATCTTCTGTTCAAGTCTTAATTGTCATCTGGGTTAAGTTTAGCAAAACATTGCCATCTCTTCAACAGCATCCCTGCCGAGTGGCCATCAATCCTCCTTTTGAACATTTTTAGATATGGAAAATTCATTACTCTCATTTATTTATTAACCTTAAGTCACTAGACAGGTCTTCTCTTGACTGAATTAAAATCTTCCTTCTGTTGTTGCCACCCAGTTGGTGAGAATATTCTTGGGAGAAATGACTGAGCAGGTTGAACATCTCATTGCATAAGGAGCATCTGAAATAGCTGAAAGCACATTTTACGTGCTTAAATTTTCTTTTTTCCAGGATAAACTTCTCCAGTGCTTCCAGCTCTTCTTGGCAGGTTATGGCATGGAGTTCAGCCATGTCACAGTCAGCCATCTCCCTCTCAGAGGGAGACACCCTTTGGAAGCAATCTAATTGCACAACAATTGGGGATTGGAATGCTTAAATAAACTACGGCACGAGGTAATGCGATGTAGCCTTTAAAATTATATTTTGAAGAATATTTAATACTGTTCACGGTATGTCAAGTGGAAGGGAAGACTGCAGCAAGACCCAATTTCATTAACAATAGACACACAAGCTGGGCTCGGTGGCTCAGCCTGTAATCCCGCGCCTTTGGGAGGCTGAGGTGAGTGGATTGCCTAAGCCTGTAGGTTCGAGACCTGCCTGGGCAGCGAGACCTCATCTCTACAATAAATAAAAAAATCAGCCGGGCATGGGAGCGCATGCCTGTAATTCTGGCTACTTGGAAGGCTGAGGTGGAAGGATCACCGGAGCCCAGCAGGTCGAGGCTGCGGTGGCCAGGAGCGGCCACT